ATCAACACCGCGTAAAGAAAAACTGTCGCTAAGTCGAGACTCCGGATTGACGCTCTCTGAAGACGATTCAAACAGTAACGGAGGAAACAGCCCAGCTCCTCGAAACATCCTCCACAGCATGTCCGCCCCCACGTGCAACATGCAACAAGAATCTAAATTAGTAGGCCGATACAATATCGATAACCACAATGTAAGCGGTTTACCTCAAGTTAACCAAAGGCAGAATATTTATTCCAACAAAGCTGAACTTTACAGCACTGTCAATGATGAATTATATACTACGCCATACATAGGAGAGAGATATATACATAACTCTATTAATATTGGTATATCAAATGGTATAGACGAAAGGAATTACATACAAAAAAAAGGATTGCAACGCTCGACAGCTGATATTTACGAACAAAGCCCAGCTAAATACATAACGGGTTTGGAACCGCAAAAACCACCAAGGAGTAATGTTTCAAAGGCAGCTCGAACTTCAAAAGTCTATAGCATGTTTGCAGAAACTCAAGAAGCAAACAAAAATATCTCAAATAAAAATTTCAACAGAGCTAAAAGCTCTGACAATCTCTTGGAATCAAAACAAGAAAATATCGACAGTAAACGCGACCTGGTCTCTAGTCAAGAAAATATTGTGTATAGTAACATACACGATCTAGCCATGTTTACAGAAAATATCCAACGACAGCATCAATATCAATCACATACAGAAACAGTTTCAAACACGAATTATGCCCGAGTATACACAGGTTGGGAAAAGAAGAGTGCCAACTATTCTAGCAAAACGAACAACAACACTACGGAAAATATATACGGTCAGATGACGAAGAAACAGGGAGAACCATCGCAATCCAAAGCGGACGGAAATTTAACACCGGCAGCCACCATTTTTACACGAAATGACTGGACTCGTCAAGCAGCTAGAACAAAAAGTTTAGAAGTAAGCGAAGAAGTCCTTGGAAACACGGACAAACTACGCAACGGCAGCTATGAAATGACAAACTGTTGCAGGAAGAGACGGTTCGATCCTGCACACATGTGCACTAAAAATTGCACCGCTCAACTGGTAAACAGAGAGCAAGAGAAACACGCCCCTAATCCTTTGCAGAACTCGTATTCTTATGTCGACAACATACAGAACATCAATTCTGAAGACAGCAAAAAATCAAGGCTACGCAATTACAACACGAATAAATTAAACCAATCAAAATCTTTGGCAAATATTATACTTCACAGTGATTCGAGCAGTAGCGACACATTATACCAGCCTCAAAATTCATTCAACAGCAGATCTACGGAGTCACCAGCAAGCGAGAACTCCTTTGAGAATTGTTACACCACGCAGTATATTGAACCCCTGTATACCTCGGTTTACAACCGACGCAGAGACATTTTCCACGACATGAAATCTGCAAACATGTTCCCTTCTGACATTTACAAAGCAACACCGACTGCCGTCAAGCCCGAGTACAACAACTCAGAATATGAACGCAACAATAATAATAATAAGGCTCCTCCCCACATGCCTCCACCTGTACCGCCAAGAAAAATGGTGTATCAAAGAGTGCTCAAGAAGTTTCAACCAGTGCACGTGAATAAAGACGACAAGAACTCACTAAGGTCTAAGTCGGTACCGCGCCTCTATAGAGAACCATCCAACGGCGCCGAAGCGAAGGAGCAAAACAACATCGTAGCTTTAGAAGGCTCCGAGTCGGATACAGAGTCCGAATCTTATGTTTAGACATTACTGAACTGAACACAAAACTAATGTAATGATTAAAGGAGATTTATTTAAATTATTAATATTGCGTACTCCACGTGTTGAACTTGAAGTAACCATGATTTTATGTTGAACAAATTTGTTATAGGTAAACAATGAATTAATCTCGATGTTATGAACTATTTTGGAATGAGTACCTATGTTTAAAATCAACTACATTTCTAAGACGGTAATATGACTATATAGCATTACGTAGGTTATATCTAGAGAATCCCGCCTTGAAAATTATAATATGTGACCATAACCTGAGTTGTTTTGGTGATGTAATTCCAAAGACGTAAGAATAGTTTCCAAGTTAATGGTATAATGTAGATGGATGTATCAAAGGGATATAACTATTTTGTCCTAGATCTATCAATGTGGGACATATTTATGCCAATCATTCGATGTTAAATTTTATTTAACGTTAGATATTTGTAACAACGTCCTTAAGGGCCGGCTCACGAGTGCGATTAGGCGAGCTACTTGACAGGTGCAGTGAAGGTATGAAAAATGTATGCTTCGACCAGCAAAATGCTGCAGACAATCGTTCGTACACGTGAGCCAACAATTAAGGTCTATATTATTGTGTCTAGCTCTGTATCAAATAAATGATGCCTTCGTGTATAGTCTAATAACAGAAAATATTAAAATAATATTTGACAATGTAATTAATGAATGCCTGCCGTGTATATAATGTAGATATATTGTACGTACATTATAATAAAATATATTAAATGGTTTCGTTGACGTTTTGTTTACAAACTCCTTATCTATACCTATAATAACCTATAATAAATCTGAAGAAAAGTCAATTCTGTACATGAAATATATTTTCAAAATAATTATCAGGGGGTGATTAGTAATCGAAACTGATGCCAAAAATGCAATCAGTAAAATTTTTGTCTGTCTGTCTGTTTGTTCCTTATATAAAGAAAAACGGCTGGACGGATTTTAACGAAATTTAGTTCAGTTATTTTTCTTATTCCTAGGCAGGTTATAGGATACTTTTTATTACGCTACAACTAATAGGAGCAGAGCAGTGAAGGGAAATGTTGGGAAAACTGGAGAACTTACACCATTTTTTAAGCTTCCGTCGCTTGTGCAGCCTTACCCCCGGTTTCCGAAAGGCCGATCAATGTTAAAATCAATTTAATCTCTTGTCAAGTCATCTAATTGGTTGGCAGAATTATCAACAACCAATCAGATGACTTGACAAGAAATTGAACAGGAGATTAGTTAATTTTAGCGTTGACAAGCCTTTCAGAAACCGGTGGTTAGTGACGGAAACGTTTTACATAAAATATTCCACATTATATAAATCACATTATCAAAAAAAAATTCCACATTATCTAAATCACATTATCTAAAAAATATTCCACAACAGCATATGTCTTACTTTTATGGTTGACTCACAATAACAGTTTGAAGCATTCTGATTATATTATTTTGTGTACTTTTACGTCATAAAACTCCCACCCATTCCTAATTTAAAAAACTTAACATTATTACCTACATATTTAATAAAACAAGAATCATAGAAATCGGTATAGCATATACTTATACGTGAACACTGAATCATTCTATAAGGACTATTTTTGTAATTAATAATTAATATTTAATGTAATTAATTATTAATTTTGCAAAATCTCTTTTGTATGAGGAAGTTCCGTGGTACCTACGATAAGCAAAGAGGTATCTTTAACAGTAGACCCCGCGGCAGACGTGTATATGGTAAGTCAGGTATTTTCAAAGAAAATGTTTTTGGTAGAGTGTACACCGTTCATCCTAACAACGCCGAGAGTTGTTATTTGGGATTATTATTACATCCAGTGCAGAATTAACATCATTTGTTGATTCGAGAAAAGTAGACGATGTTGTTTATCTTATATAGCATCCACCCGCGGCTTTGCGCACGTATTAAAAAGTAATGTATGCCTCCGGAATTTTGAAACACTGTTGTTTAAAAAATCCTATTTTTCTAAACTACTTTTTACAGCCATAACTAAACTTTCCACCCTGAGGATACGATGGAGCATATAGTGGCGGCGTGCTCTGCTTGGGCTGAGTACGCCGTGTCCTCAGGGAAGTGATCGGCGGCGGCGACCTCTCGCGCCCAGCCTCTATCGAGGCCATGGTTCGTAGTGAGAGGAACTAGGAAGCTGTTTCCTCTTTCTGCGAAGCAGTGATGCTCGCAAAGTAGGAAGCGGAGTGCATGAGGAAACTATCCTCCTCACGCCCCAGCTGCCGCAGTAGGCGACATCCCAGGCGTCGGGGATCGAGAGATGATCTCCGGCCACCGTAAGCGCGGCTCTGCGGACGGCGAGTAAGCTTGTAGTAGCTCGCTGCCCGACCAGAACCAGACCGTACGGTGTGTACGTATTGATTGAGGAGCACGATTGATGATTATTTAGCAGCAATATAGCCAATTTTGCAGCAAAAATTCTAGATTTAGCAGCAAAATATATCACTAGTTATTTTAACGCAAAAGTGACGACAAACAATGACGACGAAGCTGCCGTGCCCGGTAAGCAACTGCGTGCGTCTGGCGGAAGGAGCCACTCCTGAAGGAGTAAAGGATACACTTGAAATCTTCTTACAAAAACACATTTCACTTTGTAATTGAAAAGATTTATTATATTTTGATGTAACAATACAAATAACTACAATAAACCTCAATAAAAAAGCACAAATATTTAAAAACTTCTAAAATGTAAACACCACAACTAAAATAGATTAAAATTGTGTAGGTACGTACTACCTACTTAAAAGAAATAGTTCTACAGTTATTTCTTAATATACAAACACTAAAATGACAAAATTAAATGGTTATTTCAAACCAGTATCTGTCAATTAGTGTCATACTTACGATGTCTATTCGTGAAATATTAACTTAAAGTATTATTTCCATTAAAAATACTCGCTTAGCGGCCATTGCGTGGCTTCTTCCTTTAGCCTCTCTGAATAGAAAACATTAATTTTCTTTCCAAAAATAGTGACGTTTTGTCACATTGTCTTAAGGTTTATTATAAGCCAGTTTGAGGCAAACTGAAAATCATAATTTCACCATCAAAACCCTCTATAGTTTAACCTAATACTTATTCAGAATTGAATAAAAAATACACAATTACGAAATGGATTATTTCCAAAGTAAAAGAATCTTAAATATAGGGTTTTGAGATTTCTTCAGCCGCATGCGGTGCACCGAGGCCAGGGGTCACGTATTCGTTGGACCATCTTAATCATCTGCATCACGCTCATTGTTCTCTGGGTAGTTCCAAGGTTGAGTATCGGCTGTGCCGAACAATATGACAACACTGCCGTTACAATATACAACAAGGTACCGACTAGGAATATTAGCCTCCATTGTGCGAATCCGTTCTGAAAAACAAATCAAACGGCAGTCATATAGTATGTTTTTAAGCATTGATTATTATTGTTAGGCTTATATTTATATTTACTAACTCCGTCCCTCGTAAAGTAAGCAGTGACCAATGGTGTGATAAAGCCAGCAGTATTTCCTATACCATTTGCAATTCCGTATAATGTGCCAGCAAAGTTAGGTGCCAAGTCCTGATGATTCACCAGGTTGATTAAGCATGCTGCGCCATTTAATCCTAGGGAGAAGCTGATCAGTGCCATTGAAAGCATAGGTCTGCAGCCAGCGTAGCCCAGTGCGAAAAGCAGTACTCCCGGAAGGATATGAGAAAATAAAGTGAAAAACTTTCTCACGTGTATTACCCTCATTAATTTCCTCTGGATAATTCTAAAATGAAATTAAAAAATTGGAATAAAATTAATCCTAGTCATGCGGTTTTATATAGTGATAGTAATTTATAGTATTATGTATTCGCTTAACTTTTAAGCTACATAAAAACATTAACTTTCGTTAACATTAGACCATTACAAAGGTTAAGATTGCAATTTGTATTACACTTAGATATGTTCAATTCTTCGAAGACGTAGAGTCATACCCAAGGTAGGTTATACCGAAGTTAAATAATAGTGTCTGACGGAGCTACATAAAATATAAGTTTTTAAATTATTTACCTATCACCGACATAGCCAAATCCAAGTGCGAAGAACATTCTGCAAATATAACGCAGTGTAACTGCAGTGACGATAAACCACCAACGGATGAGAGGTCAAACCCAAGAACGCTAGATATAAACTTAGGAACGGCCGTCATGATGAAGTAAATACCCCAGTCGTTACCGTAGTGAAGAACCACCATAGCCAAGTATGGAAACGATGTAAAGATCTTCTTAAACGGTGTTCGAATCTATAATCAAATAATGAGGATTATTCATACTATTTTGCTGTAGTATTTTGCTTTGCTTTTCTGGACATAGGTACGTATCGTACAAGTTCACAACCATTGTATGCCCACAACCTATTATGAAGTATTATTGCAAAACTTATTTCTCGTATTTTGATTAGATAAAAATAAAAAATGAGGGTGTAGGTCAACGAGGTATGCTTTTTGTAGTCATGAAATAAGTGAGAGCTTGGATTTTAACGATAAGCAAAGCAATCGAACCTTCTTTCCATGGATAACTTTATCACCAATCGCATTCAAAATAAACTTTTTCTCCTCTTCGGAGATACGAGGATGTGTTTTAGGAGAGTCGGATACCAAATACAACCAAAGTAGGCACCAAATAAAGGCGAATAATCCTGTAAATGTAATAATATTTTTAGAATAACTATTACATTATTCTTTAAAATTTTCTTTGGAATAGTGTATGAATACGACACTTAAGACACTTTAGAGATTTACCTTGTAAATAGAATGCGTAAGGCCATCCCAAAGCTTTAATGATAGGACCTGAAAATGTCCAAGTGCACGCCATACCAATAGCACCACCTTGTAGCGTGCTCACGAACTTACTCTTTTCCACCGGAGGTGACCAGTGGGCCAGTCGAGTGAAGTGCTGGAAACAGGAATCCCTGAAAATTATCCGCGCAGTTTGCTTCGTGTAAACAGTTCTGAGGTATCAAGATGCAAAGTACAGACTTCAAATTTTATAAACACTTTTAAGTCACTTTGACATTAGGGTCGATAAATATTCAATTAAAATTCTTACACCCAAGAGCCCCGCATCACACACCATAGTCATTTTACAGATTAGATATGACTCCGTGGGGTAGCAGATATTTTCATGAATAAAATAGCCATTCAATAATACCACAATTATTGCAACCGAGTACCAAAATGAACATTCTCCTTTGTTGTCAGTATACTTCCATCGAACAAAACTTAAAAGGTATTATTATTAAGAAGGTTCATTCACGTACCATTTGAAAAACGTATATAGCAATAACTAATTACGTACATACAAATATTAGGTTGGGGAAAATGTCTTTTCACATTGTAGCACATGTATGAACATGTAATAAAATCGCTTTGGAATTTCTATCTAGGTTTTCTTGGTATCATTGGAAATTGAAATTTAAAAGAATACAATTCTAAATACAAATTAGAAAAATGTGTGATTTTAATTTGTTTTTCGCACTATCACGATAAGTGTCTAATGAAGAAATTCGATACATTTTAACATTTTTCTACAAAAAAGGTAAAAAAAAACTGGCACTATTTGCATTTTTTATGGACCTAGTGTAGTGTCTGTGAGAATAGCACTATTTCGATTTAAGCGTCTCCAATCTGGAAATATTGATGTCAAAGATGCTCGTCGTTCTTACAACCACTTGTCGCGGTCAAACAAAATGGCACATGCATACTTTAGTTAAATAAACTACAATAACAAAAGTTTTGAATTTTCTCAGAACTGCAAAGAAACTTTCTCCCCAAACTATTTTAATAGAAGGAATGCTTCGTAATTAGCATCTTACCGCTGCTAAGCCACCAAAAACTCTGGACGCCACAAGCACTTTAACACCCCACATTGCTGCCCACGGGGTCAGAAATGTCATTATAGCTGCGATAACCATCGTGTAGAATACTACCTTCCTTGGGCCGAATTGCTCAGCCACCGTTCCTCCAATTGCGCAAGTGAGAGCGTATCCCCAAAAGTATCCCCCCAACACGTAAGCTTGGTCCTGGTTAGTCCAATTAAACGTTGGTGTGCCAGGTGGCTGTAAACATTCAATTAATTGAAATCCTGAGGTAAAGATGTCCTCCGCTGAATAAAACCTTGACGTCGTCCGTTGGACCGCGACGTTGAATTGAACAATTTTATCAGATGGTCTAGCTAGACTTGCAATAACGCCAATCGTCCTTGATGTCGTTCTAAATATAATAACTCCAGTTTACCTGAACAAGTACAGTTGCATTTTTTCCCGTACTCTCACATTCGCTTTTTGCCATGTAAACAAAAAAAAAAATATTAAGATGCGGGAATAATTTTTGTATGACAAGTACATAAAAGGAGATAGGAAATTGAACACTTTCAGTCTGGTGTCAGACACAAGCCATCGATGGATATTTGATTTTGGCGAAAGAGATTCAGACATCGTTTTAAAAAAATAAAAAAAAAACCGATAAAAAAACAAAGATTGAACTTTAAAAATAAAAAAAATAAAAAAAAACGTCACGTTGGGGGACTGTAAAAAAATGGTAGACACTAATACGTATTCGACGTATATTTGTTGTTTTTTGTAGATATTTTATATTGCTAAGAGCACTCTCAATTAACTTTCAGTGCGCTTTCATTTGAGAACTAAGAACACTAGCACGTAAGTCACCGTTGAAATCGGTTCATCCATTCAGGCTCCAGATACGTCAAACTTATAACAACCCTCTTTTTTCGTAGGGGGTTAAAAACTAGGCAACCAACTTCTTTAATTACCCTTTTGAACACCGATCGCGAACTTAGCGTTGAGATGGAAGAACTATGGACTGCGGTGCAATGACACGGGCTGTTAAATTTTCGCTTTGCTTGAAACTCACTTTTTGTTTGATGGATCTCGAGGGACCATGGCAATGATACCGACACTAATGTTAACTCGCATCATGTAGTTGACATCACACGCAAAAAACATCATGATGGCCACAACAAACCGCACCGGTATTAGAGCTGTAAATAAAGACATTTATATCAGTTTACGTAGACAGCCATGCTCATTAATTTATACATACATACTTTATTGTACACATATGTAGAACAAACTTGCCTGCTGAAAACTTATGCCGAACCAACCCATTTGTGCCGAAACTTGGCTCTGTTACACTTAAAACATCCTCGGTTGTAGAATAATCTTTGAATTACATGAATTCTACACTAAGGTTATTCACTTAGTATTCTATATAATATAGAATAATAATAATATACAGAGGAAGAGTTTGTTTTTTCTAATATCTTTAACTGATGTTGTCAGATTGGTAGTAGACTTACCTCCGCTACTTGCATGAAATGTATCAACCATTTTTGTTAACTTACAAATATTTACATGAAAGTACAGTACACAAAAAAAATATTACGTAACTAGCAGACCGCCCCTGCTTCGCACGGATATCTGACTACCTCGGTGTCAGTCATTTGTTTTGCGAGCGAACGGCCACGGCACCTAAAATGTTGTTATTCCCGCTATTCCTCTTTACTTTTTATTTTTTTTTGTAAGAGCCTTCTCCTGACGTTAACAGACATAACAAAAAAAGAATTAGCAAAAATTGGTCCAGGCGTTGTTGAGTTATGCGCTTACCAACATATTTTGCGATCCATTTTTATATTATAGATAATATGTCACATTTATCTCTTTAACATGTCAGTTTCATTTCGTATGTTTTTTTTACTCTTTTACTTTTGAGTGAGATGCGTTCTGCCAGACTCGTCATGTACATCGAAATTAAAAACTATATTCCACCTCTTTTTTTGTGAGGGGAAAACCGTCAACTATCTTGGTACAGATAATACAAACATTTGTTCCACCATTTCTTAAATCTATTTTTATCATGGTACAAATATTCAGTTTAGACATTGTCGAAAAATTTCTAAAATTATTTTCGACAAGTCTGTCTTAATAATAAGCTAAAAACAAGAAACAAACAACAATTGAAAACTCCACAGTTTCACGCTGTAGCTGGGCAACTGACTGCGGTTCAACGATCATGGATCATGGACTCAATTCCCGTACATAAGAGTAAATTCATTTGTTTTTAAAAGCAAAAAGAAAGCTCTTTCCTACGTCATAGTTTTTTTATGTATGGTTTGGCAAACGAGCTGACGGATTACCTGATGGTAAGCAATCAGCGTCGCCCATGGACACCCACAGCAGCAACAACAGAGGAGTTACGACGTGGTTGTTTCACGTCGGTTTTCTGTGAGGCCGTGTTATCACTCCGGTCGAGCCGACCCATTCGCGCCGAAGCTTGGCTCTCCCACACTTAGGTGTATAGAGTAACAACAAGTGTGTTCATGTTCTTTAAGAGGGAGGCACATAATTATAGAGATGGAATAAAATAAGTTTTCATATATAATAATTTAATTAATTTCAAATAAATCATCATAATTCACTCTTATATATCATCATCACAGACACGATAAAACAAAACCTTAATAGTTGAAGTAAGCTTAAAGAAACTTGTGTACAGTCATTAAATTAAATTATAGTAATTATTATTAGTCATTCGGCTATTTACAAATAATCGTTATTAAATTCTAAAGTATTCGAAGAAGACCCTGGATCAACCAGGATTATCAATATATGAGAGTGCAAACTATGTCAAACTTTATATTTATCTCATATTATTTTATTTATTTTAATATTTTCATGCACAAAAAATATTGTACAATTGTGGGCTTAATTAGTAATACAAAGGAATCAAGTTATTAACTAATATAATAATGAATTAACTTTTAATTTCTCTTCTAATAGTCGAGCATTAGTTGTTTGGTCAACGCTTCTTACGAACTTGGATACGGTTGGTTGTAACGAATAAAACTTTATTTTATGACTCAACTAAAAGAGAGCATCTTATAAATCTCCCACCAGTCCATTAAAATAAATTACTATAATGAGACCGAAAATTTTAAATATGAGCATTTTGACTTCCCAATCTCAATTTCATATAAATTAAGTAGGTATTGCCTTCTCAAAGCATTTGTTTCCTTAGGGCTGATTTTTAAATAGTTAAATAAAAGTTACGTGGGGAATAATTATGATGCTGTCGCGTCAGAATGTTTGTATAAGACAGTGACAGCAACAATTTTATTCCTCAGATAAAATTTATCTGAGTATTGAAAAATCTGCCCTAACAATATTAAGCTATTTTTCATTCATTTATTTATTTATCGGTCCATAAATATTTTTCCTTACTATTTCAGCTATATGTTTAATAATTTCTCTTTAATGACTTCATCGTCAACACAATGTTGGAATTTACTCATTCTACTTTTAATTACGACTGACGATTTTTGAAAACGATCCTATGGTTAAAGTATACAATCTATAAGTTACAATTGATCTGTGAAGTCAACCAAATCGCCAATCATAACCAAAGTTCTTATTGTATGTTGTAGTCTCCTATAGGTGGAAAATACATCAACAATATACTTATTATTAATTTATACTCTGCCATATTATGTGACCGTATTTTGTTTCTACATTAAAAAATATAGTGAATAATCTGGTTTAAACTTACCTAGGTACCGACTATTCTTTAAATACACAAGCTTTTGAATGGAAAACAGTATTATGTCATTAATATTATGTATTCATTTACTTATAAATTAACAAATTGTTTGTTAACCTGTTAAAATACAAAAGTTTTCCATAAAACTGTGCAGAACAGAACAGTTCATTATATTGTGGCCAATGTTGTTGAGCGTTTAAATTCAGCAACAGATTACACCACAGTTAAGTTAACATTGAAAGCTGAACTAAAATATCAAAAACATAAACGTATTTACATTGACATCTAGTAGACCAAGTAATTAAATAATTATGGCGATTTAATAATACGTACTTAAATACTACCTACTACTTAGAGACAAAAATACCTATTCTGCAGACTTATGTAAACATTGCTTCTTGCATTTGTGCGTATTACTTGAATAAGCCTACGTCTTCAGTGAGATCGTGACAGTTGTGTCCGTTGAGTTAGAGTTCTGTCTCTTGTCTTCTTCTTCTTCTACGGGAGTAACGTAGTTCCAGGACTGAGTCTCGGCTGTACCAAACAGAATAAAGTATCCAGCTGACGCGATGTACAACGACGCACCCGTTATGAAGACTGGCCGCCATTCTGCGAATCCATTCTGGAAACGAGGTTAGGAGGTGAGACACGCTTGATAGATAAATCAGCTAGTGACTAGACTCAAATATAAAACTGATCTATGTACTAAGTATGTATAAAGTAATACTAGTACATCAACACTTGTACTACTTACTCCGTTCTTGGTAAAGTGCGCAGTGACCAACGGCGTGACAAAGCCAGCAGTGTTGCCTATTCCGTTGGCAATTCCGTATAGTGTGCCAGCGAAGTTAGGTGCCAGGTCCTGATGATTCACCAGGTTGGTTAGTGTGGCCGCACCATTAGACCCCATGGAGAATGTAATTAGGGCTACAGAGAGGATGGGTGCACAGCCCGTGTATCCTAACCCGATGAGAAGCAGACCGGGCACCACGTGGGAGAAGAGACAGAAGAACTTCCTCATAAACGTTGTTGATACTATATTCTGTTTGACGATCCTGTAAACATAAAGACTCGTGTTAGTGGCCTGATATCACAATCACATAATAAGAATTGACACAGTTTTTCGGAATTGTAGTCTTCAAAAATGTTCACGTAGATAAATTATGGAGATTGCCGTTATCAATCGTTTTTATTTCGTAAGCAACAAGGGTTATATTCGTAAAGCAGATAGGCGATTAACGGTGCATTTTATTATGTACATATTTAAATGAATTTACGTACCTGTCACCGACGGCTCCGAATATGAGCGAGAATATCATTCTAGCGAGGTAAGGTAGGGAGGAGAGAGTGCCTGTGGACGTCAGGTTGAAGCCGAGGGCGCTGGACACGAACTTAGGAGCCGCTGTCATCACGAAGTACAAACCCCAGTTGCTACCATAGTGAAGGATCACCATAGCAAGGAATGGGAACGATGTCAAAATCTTTCTGAATGGCGGAACGACCTTAAAAAGAAAAAAAAGTAAATTAAATAAATGTTATCCATAGTAATATTTTGATAGAAAGTAATTATGTACGTTTAAGGAACATACGATTTTTTAATAATATTTTTTTTTTTATATACGTAATTAAACCTTCATCCGTCGTGTCCTATTTAAAGGATGGCTTTGGACAAAAACCTTGACCACTAAGTACCTACTAACTCCACGTTTCTTCCTTGCAACATAAAAAACCCTCACGATTTTTGTAATGAATGAACAAAACAACACGTGCTGGCATTGAGGTCGCCCCTAAAACATGTATAAGGCAACAGATTAATGCTAATAATGTGTCTTTCTGCATGGCCAAAATGTTCGTAGAATTTATTTTCTGATTTAATTTCAAGGTACATCTATCCTTCATTAATTTAGTTGTATTTTTTTCCTAGTAATGTTTTAAGTGAGGGACATCTAATTCGTGGATCTGTGTCATGAATTTGACTGCACGGTTGGCGCGGTGGCTGGACAATTGGGTGCCACGCAACGTGTCGCGGATTCGATTCCCGCTCGGAACAACTCTGTGTGCGATCCATAAATAGTTGTTTCGGTCTGGGTGAAATAACATAGGTGTAAATGCACGGCAATGCACACATAATACGGGAGAAAATCTTAGTGTGGGGAAAATAATAATAATAATAATAATTGAATTCAATGAATTAAGATGTCCGCATTAGAAGAAATTGGTTTTTTTTAATGTTTTTCAAAGCACAGAAAACAAAAATTTGTATTGCACTAGCCTTAGATAGTTTCCAGTTCTATTTATTTATTATAATAAGGTAGGCTCACAGCTTAGGTATACAAAGTAGTTAAAAGTATAGGTTATAGGTTAGTTCTTAGATATACATTAGCCAGTTCCGAGCTAACTAATATTCTTAAAATTATGCGTTTGCACAGTTCTAGAGTTAAACTAACTCTAGAACATTCTTAGTGAAGGTATGTAGCCTTGACGTCGTAAGTACACACTCGTACAATCACCCGTCTTTACCTTAGCTTCTGTCGCACTCTGGTTAACTTTGTCGCCTATAGCCTCAAGGATGTACTTCTTCTCACTTTCAGAGATACGTGGATGTTGTACTGGAGAATCGTAGACCAAAAACCACCATAGAATGCACCATACTAACGCGATTGTTCCTGGAAAACGAAAAGTATACAACGTTAAGAATCATAGGTAGATGAAAACACATGAGTCGTATTAAAGGTAGTGTCTATTCGTGTTGTGTTCTATGAAATTCTATTTGAACTGTACTAAATTGTAATTAGAAACGAATAAAAATATTTAGCTAGTAATAATTAAAAAGTATATAGGTTATTAATATTTGGTTGTAGAATTGTTTCTTATTGAAATATTTGGCAATTAAAAGCAATGAACAAATCCATCTAAACTTCGAATTATTCATGAAAAATGACATTTCATTCTAAATTGTATCGCATGGATTTTTGACGCTCAAATAAAACCATTTTCGATTCAACATAATCCAAAAAAAACTGCCAAATTGTTCCATTCTCCGACATAAATTATATCAGTACCTAATTTTAAAGTTATGTTTAAACTAATTCTCGCAGTAATAACTATTTAAAAGACATCTGCAATCCCGTCACGGCTCAATTAACTATGTAGAAATCAGCACCCACCGTCTCGGAATTTAAATAGAAGTAGGTAATAAGAAAGCCAATTTTGTAATACTGCCATTATTAGAAATACTGTTGCCTTGTATTTAAGAAATATTTTAATATCAAGCAAATGTTACTGACAGACTACCAAAAGAAAATAAAAGAGCTCTATCGACTTCATTAATCGATAAAAAATTAGGTACCTACATTTTATATAAAACAGAATGAAAAAAAAGTTATAAATTTTATTATAAAAAATATTTAAAAAAGGAATTCACACTGCATAGATATGTGAGCTTTTTAAAATCATTTTTTCGACCAATACTGACGCAGATCTGTGAGCGACTGTTACATAATTTTCTCATCTCAGTAAATGATGCGTCCTTTAAGAAAACATAATTTAAGATGACGCATTTCGTACAGTTACGCTTGGAGTTCGCTCACCCCAAAAAGAAGTAAGCGTTATAATATGTTCTTGTATAAATTTATGGGCCCACGTCTGCAATCGCTAATTTATTTAAAAGATGCACAATAAGCTAAGCCTGGCTTTTAAAAATAAAGCTGATAACTAAATGAAATCATATACATCCTCTAACTTATATTGAAGATTGTTATCCTATGACAGATATACTTAAGGTTAATAAACAAAATAAATACTTAATGATACTAAATAATTTGACAAAAAATAAGAACTTTATTTACAAAATCCGTATATATATGTAGGTTCGAAAATAGTAAACTGGGGTTTGGCTAGCTAAAGTTTTATAACTTGATACCTTTTACAAAACGAACGACACTGATTTTTATTTATTATTATTATTTATGCACATCACACATACAGTAAATAGAGAACAAATACAGAGACAGAGGTACATAGGTACTGCATATTCCTGGAATCTCTTCCTGCAGTCCTTCGAAAGGAAAAATGTAAGAGACATAAGACACTGTGTGATAAACTAAAACAACAGGAAGAAGAGAAATAGGAAATTTCTCTTTTTTGCCATTTAGATAGATACAAATCACACTAAAATATTTTGTACAGAACTAAAGACAACATGCATACAATAACATAGTTAAATTAAGAAAAATTCTAACTAAAAATTAAATAGAAAAATAAAAATAAATAGCGAGACTTTTAAAAAATAAAGTACTTACCGGGAACGTAAAACGCGTAATCCCATCCGAAGTTTTCAATTAGCGGTCCTGTTAGCGACCAGGTGACTACAGTACCTATAGCGCCACCTAGCAGAGCGCTCACGAACTTCCCCTTCTCCTGGGGTGGCGCCCAGTGAGCCACCAATGCATGGAGTGCAGGAAACAGGAATCCCTAAAACAAACGATATATTACATAATCACTACATATAGCGTTATATATCCCTATATCCCTCCCTATATATGATTAAATCTACAAAATTCGTTTTAATTCGGTTTTTTTGATAGACAGAGCGAATGAATAGTAAGGTTACTATGTATATGTATAATACCCCATGCGGAGCCGAGTGGGTCGCTAGTATGATTATACATTTAAGATTTCCTGGCTAACTCTTAAACGTGCCGTAATTAATTTGATTAGATATTTTATTAAAAGTGGGACAAACCTCAGAATTTTAAAATTGAGAACCTACATAATACTTTGTTTACGCTTAGAGTCGAATTACAAACCACATATTCGACCGACAGTCATGCAGCATTAGAACTGTTATCTATTTATAATTCTCACCAGGTAGACCATGCAAAAATATGTACAATAGCAGCTATGACACAGATTACATAAATACTTGTGCCTCTCACATTGAAGTTACATTCCATCTTATCATACTAATCTTACTAATACATATTATAAATGCGAAAGTTGCGATGTTTGGATCCTTGTTTTTATAATAACTATCGTGAGACATACTAAATTAACGAAAATTCGCGGGTTACTAACGTGTAAATGTTGAGAAAAGCTCTACAGCCTACACTACTACGCGACGTCGCCGCGTCCGCGCACGCTGCTCATGAGGAAGAACCCCTCTGTGGTTCGAAACTAGTAGAGCTTTTCTCAACATTTACACGTGAGTAACCCGCGAATTTTAGTTAATTTAGTTAAGTTTGGATCCTTGTTAGCCAATCATGCGAAAACGCCTGGACGGATCTGAATAAAATTTGGCACAAGCATAGCATACACTCCGGAATAGGACATTAGGCTTCTTTCTAGTAATACTATGAATTCTGGAATGTCTTAGTTTTACTAAAAACTTTTGCTCAAAGTATCTAATTATAAACTAAGGTACTTTCATGGTGCGGAGTGAAAGGCACTGGGACGCCGTCTCCTCCTTCTGTGAAGCAGTCATGCTCACAAAGAGAGAGGCGGCCCGCGTGAGGGAGCAATCCTCCTCCTCACGCCCCAGCCGCCGCAACAGGCGACACTAGCGTGTCGTTGATCAAGGGACGATGTCCGCTAAAGCTTGGCTTAAAGAAAACTGCCAAATAAAAGAGTATAATTATAGGTACCTATATTATAAAATAGATTTGTATAAGTTAGTTATAAGTTTAAATATTTATGCTATTAATTTTCGCATGCCGACTGAAGGTGAAAAATGCGTGACTTATTTTTTGTTTTGTCAACGTTGTATTAACCATGTCACTGTGAATAAAATTTCCTTTCAGTTTAAAATAATACTCAATACCAAACCTAAGAAATCGGGGTTGGTAGCCACGCTTGAAACTATCATTTGACTGACAAAGACTTAGGTTTCGTACCTTTGCTAGCTAATTTGCATGACAAAAGGTAGCATGTTTTTAGACATTTTCATAATACATACGAGTGCAAGGTAGCTACGTAAGAGCTACGTAATTGCTACGCAACGGCTACGCGCCAACTCATCGTCATCAAGACTATGAGTACCCACTGCTGAGTGAAGTCTCCTCTTCACATTAAGGTTTGAGAATTAATCACCGCTCGTAAATCACGCGCTCGGCTGATTCAGACTTATAAATTGGAAATCACAAGTCCAGTAGGTTTCCTGCAGTTTCCGAGCGTACGGCGCGTAGTGTGCCGCGCACGTTCAAAGACCAATAGACCACCACTGATGGGGCCCTACAGTGCTGATGTTCAGGCGAGGTTGCGGGGCGGCAAGCGCAATTAGTTACTGTGGCCCCGGTCTAGAGCAGGACAATGAACGGAGGGAAGGGGGGAGCACGGGGGGGAGGGTTAGTCTGTCAAGTCAAACACTCCTCTTCGTCACGTTCAGAGCGAGAGAGAACATTGATAACTTCCTCTCACAACAAAAAGGTTTTCTACAGTTTTACTTTACTATAAATCAGAAGTAACTTAGTACATATAACTCGGAAAAAGTCACATTGGTACTTGCCACGTTTCGTACCTCGAGTATGAGACACAAGTATCTTTACTTCCGGGCTACCACGATATATGTATGTATAGGTAAGTCATCTACTTAACGCCTTTCTTTGCAACTCTGACAAGGAATGCCAACACAAGTAGATAGTTATGTCAACAAACAATGATAGAGTAACGAAACTGTATACAAAACGACTGTTTTACCAAAAAACAACATTAAGTACACTATCTGAAATATTTACTGATTCACCTAGAATCGTAAAACAGCAAAGGAATGTTGTTCTTTATTTCTATTTTGGTGTTGTTACTTAGCAGCATCCAGAGAACAGAAAATTCAGCCGAGAAAAATTGTTTTTCAGGGTCATGAAGAAAATGAAATGAAAATTCTATTATTGTTTTGTAGCCCAGCAGCTGTTGCCCAACCCAGCTATTGTCTTATATATAAGTAGTTGTGTAAAATAAAAGCTACCATATAATTCCGTGGCTAAGACAGCCCGGTGTTGACACAAGGCCGCAGTAAATCACTTACTACACACTACACTTACACTTCAACGTACAGAAAAAGATAAGATCTTCTAATAACCTCTTGATTTAGTTCAAATTACAAAGACGACCATAATTCCTACATGTCGACATTACTTTGTAAATTATTATGACGTAGGTTATATTCATTACTTCGAATGACAACAGTTGAGCAACGTTTTCATTTAATTACACACAATCCTACTTAATCCCATAGGCATAAGGAGCAAAGTTGCATCAACGCACCATAATTAATTTACACGGACAACCATTTCCATAAACATCGAGAGAACATTCTGCGAACTTCTATGTACGTGTATTCATAAATATGAAATTGTTGTTCAACAGATAACGATTATCGCAAAAAAATGTTCGTTAGCTGTCATAAACGGTTCTACACAGGAATGAACATAAAATATGCGAAAAACCTCCGTTCATTTAAAATAACTGAATAATGTTTTTCTAAAGTATTCATTCTGTTGGTAAAGTTTTTAAGAAATATCCGTGGACAGGTTACATTTACATTGAAACAAATATAATTGGCACTTCCATAAATATAATATAATGGCCGTGGGAAATTTGAATTCGTCTTTATTGGCGTTTTCCTAAGCTTGGGTCCGCCAAATATCATAGTTTGAGGTCGTTGTAATTTGCTTCTTGTTTTAGTAAAATCGGTTTGGTATGAGCAAAACGTGCCGTTATATACGTGTTTCAATAATATATTAATGGAATGACTACCATTAATCTTCATTTGCAGTAAAAAAACTATTCTTTACTGATTACCAATTCGAGAAAAAATAGCAGATCTGTGTGACTTAACTACATATACTACAAATATAAGCAGCCGTCGGCAACATGGAAACCCTCCGGTTTAGGAAGTTTTTGCATGCCCCATGACTTTTTGCGAGTTATTTGCCCTGATATAACCAGATATACGGTGAAACAAAATTAAAAACATCGCAAGGAAGCCTGGCCTCCTGCAAAAATGTGTATCACTGTTTTTTTTTCTTTTGCATCGTATGATTCTCTATTATAAAAGAATATTATTTTAAAGACATATTCTGAAAGCGTGAAGTTTTTTTAAATAATTATTTTGCATATTTTAAATACAGATGACGATACGAGGTATGGCAGTTGCTAGTGAATATTTATACAACAAATTCAATTCGTGGAATCCGTAATTTCTCGTGCTGTGAACGTTGAAGTATAGAGGCGTCATAAAACATGTTTGCAAATGAAGTTATGTGCCCTATCTACTTTAGCAAATTGAAAATATATACGACGAAACGCATTTAAAAGGGACAATAACTTCACTTGTAATAAGTACCCATGTTCTTATTATAATAAGCTTTATTTCCTTTAGTAATTCCACACGTTTATACTTTTACGACTATTACAAATTGCTTGCGGTTATATTATATAGCCTTTTAGAAAATGACTTAGAAGTTAAATTAATGACTTTCAAGAAAAATAAAACGCTACTATGATTTCGAACAAGTTTAGTATGATCTAATAAGGATTTATTAGAATTCTAATTTTTAGTTAATAGGAATCATATGAGGCAATAAATTCTAATAACAGTGATAGGAGTAAATTTTTCAAAGAAATCAAAAGTACTTATCTCAAATCACTTTTTGTAAAGATAGAATTAAAAAGAAGAGCGAAAGAAGTAGGTAAATGCCAGATACCCGCAACACCAGAGGAACTACCAGTGCGTCGTTGCCAGCCTTTTGGGCATAAGGAGATAAGGGCTTTGGAGTTTCAGAATTGGGGAAGATTGGGAGAGGGAATGAAGAATTGGATCTCCGATAACTTCACTCACACGGCGAAACACAACGCTGTGGTTGGTCCACACCGATTTTCTGTTAGGCCGTGATATCCGATCGACGTGATCCATTCGTCCGATATTTGTAGTGCCATTTAAATATTTTCTTCTCATAAAGTCCTACTAAAATACCCATTGATATCAAATAAGTACAATTAGATATGCTAATGAATACTTACTTAATTGTATGCAATTAAAATCAGTATCTTACGAAAATCTCAGAGTTCTGTAATTACGCTAGTATCATAAAGTACATGTAAGTATAGAGGTATTTTTTTATTTAAGCATTGCCATTCACGTGGCTATTATGCTAGTCTTTTTGGGGACACAAAAATAAGTAGATATATAGAGATAGAGTTTTTTAAACTGCAAACACTTTTGTTTTATTTTAATATTTACTAAAATGTATCATGAAAATAAACTAACAAGCTATGTAATATGCTTATACAGTATGATATTGAAGTGTTAATACTAGTTTATTTTATAGGACCGGAGGCCCAATCCTTCCCCTTCCCCAATCCCTCCTCAATCCCTAAATCTCCAAATCCCTAATCCCTAAAAGATCGGCAACGCACTCGTAACTCCTCCGTTGCGAGTGTCCATGGGCGGCGCTGATTGCTTACCATCAGGTAATCCGTCGTTCGCCGAACTATTACATAAAAAAAAAAGTTTAGTCGACGGCGGCGACTAAGTCATGATATTTTCATAGACTACGATGAAAAGTAATCTCATGTTGATGACGTATTCTGGTATATCATAGTATAATTTTATTGTTCTTTGTTTAAATTATAATTTAATCGTTATTTTTCATCGTCTAATGTAATGTAACTGTTTAACATTAGAGGCTTGGCTTACTAACAATCTTTGGCAAAACAATTCAAATTGTGTTATTACTTGATTCTGAGCATCAGGCGGAGCTTACAATAAATCCAGACCAATGTTGCCAGTTCTATTAAAACGTATAATTATGAAAGATGTTAAACATAAAGCTATATACTGGATTTCGATAAGATAATAGTCTATGCATACCAATGTGGCCAAAAAACTATGCTTATATACTACTATTGACATTTAATTATATGTATGTAGCATTTTATTATACAATTCCAATGGCCATTGGTCAAATTATTATGCAAATACGTGTTCTTGAGAAAAAATAAGACCTTATCTCGAATAAGTTATAAATAGGACAAAAAGAAACAATTTTTGTTGTTGTCTCTGTCGTTCGTTAATCTCGTATTTATGATGTAAAAAATAATTTTTATTTAGAATTATTGATGTTTATCTTTATTTAAATAAGTCTCAATTGAAACTCAAGTTAATAAATTATAATAACAAAAAATGGTCAACGCATTTGTAATATTAAGTACAATAAAACATTGAGTATTTACGTACAAATAATAAAATATAAGTACTAGCTTCTTTTATATTATAATGATATTTCTTTTATTTTGAATGTGTAAGCGCATAGCTCAACAACGCTTAGACCAGTTTTGCCCACTATTTTTTGTTGTGTTTGTTATTGTCAGGAGAAGGTTCTAGAGAGAGAAAATTTTAAAAAAGAAGGGATGAAATTGGTTTGTTGCCTTTCGTTGTAAGCGATGTATCTACCTACTTGTATAGTACCTGAACAAAGCGAGCCGCTAGAATGACAATATAAAACAAAGTACATATACTACTAGTGTAGGTAGTATTTCTTATATTGTGCGACAATACAATCTGAAATAAGGGAAAGAATAAAAATGTTTTATGAAATAGTAGGTAACTCACTGCTGCTAATCCACTGACGAATCTGACGGCCACAAGCGCCATATAATGTATCCTTGCTGCCTGAGGACTCAAGATGGTCAGGATGGCGATCAACAGCATTGTAACGAAGACCAGTTTCCTTGGACCCCAGAACTCGGCCGCGGTTCCTCCCACGAGGCAAGAGATGGAGTACCCCCAGAAGTACCCTGACAGCACGTAAGCTTGCTGCTGAGCTGTCCAATCGAAGGTAACCACTCCATCTGGCTGCACAAAGAAAACTTCATTTTACAATAGGCATTTATATTGTGCCATACTATGAGATAGATATCGGTTTTCATCCCTGTATAATGAACGCTAAAGTTTTAAATTATAGGGTTAAATACAATATATTGAACAGGGGTTAATAACCAATACGTGTACAGCGTGTACTATTATATTCATTACTATCATGTACAGAAATAATGAGCATAAGTACTTTGGTTATAGTTAAAAGTTTGTTCTAAAATATTTTATATTTTTCATGGATAGGAGGCAAATGAGCAGACGGATCACCTGATGGTAAGTGATCAGCGCCGCCCATGGACACCTGCAACACCAGAGGAGTCACAGGCGCGTTACCGGCCTTTATATTTTCACGTTTCTGTCCATACAATGCTAGCAGTCAACAATAGTGTATGTATTATACATATAGGTAATAGGTACGTAGAGTGTAAATTTGTTAAGCCTTTTTATTATTATTTGTCTTGCCACCGCTTGAATGTTTGAAGTACTCATTTCTAGCAATAAAATCTTATATCTCTTTGTTGACTGTAACACAATGTTTGTGCAAATATTCGTTTATAACAAGCCTCCTTGCTCTTTACCTGTTAAAATTAATTGCAGTCCACCAAAACCGCTCCTTAATTCCAACATTATTCATTTTATCATAAAAACATGTTAGTGTGACTAAACAAAATTATTATAATTAAGTAACCATTTTTGTTAAATAAATCAACAGAAAAACCTAAGCTAACCGTGAAATATGACTGTTATTTTTCAAATCCATTACACTTGACAAGTTATATTTTTAAATTAAAATAAAGCAACAAAGAAAATGTTGTTTTAAATGAGAGTTAGTACAAAAATTATCGTTTTCAAGGCACAGCTGTTTTACGGAAAATTCGCAATACGATATGATGAATAGGAAACCATTCATGAATATGTCGAGTGAACAGGTACATTATGCGGTAGAACGTATAGGTAAAGAGCCGAGACTGCATTCATTGTTAAAAATACATGTATAACAAGCGACACGGACAAACAATTAAAATTAAAACCTTAACAATATTTTAACTTCAAATAATTGGAAATTGAATTATGACTATAAATTCAATTATCACTAGAAGACTTTAACGTTTTTTAAAAAAATAATCATAATGGCAATCAAAGAAAACAAAATAAAAAGCAAGGAAACGACGATAAAGGGAAAACACGGATCGTACACTAAGGGCTGATTTTCAATGGTTAGATAAAAGTTATCTGGGCAATAATTATGATGCTGTCGCGTCAGAATATTTGCATAAGACAGTGACAGCAACAATTTTTTTCTTCAATAACATTTATCTGACTGTTGAAAAATCAGCCCTAAGGCAATTATGTACGTATTTTAAAACAATTGAGTTTTATTTCAAGGTCATTTTGTAAGTATTTAGTATAAATATAGTGTTACCTGTCTTAGTTCTCGCTTGGTGACCACAGTACTGTTATACAACGAAGTATCGTTTGTCACAATGGCCTCGCACTCGCTTTTCACCCTGTGAATTACAATGAAATAACTATTGTGTACATAAATATCAATGTCTCAACTATCTGATTATAAAAACGTGATCCTATTACAAACATTGAACGTATGCATAGAGCAGTAAATGTTTTATTCCAACCCAGACTTCGAAGTTAAAAATGTAGCTGTATTTATTTATTTGAGACTTCATGAACAAAACACTGTACATAGGCGGACTTAATGCGATGAGCATTCTCTACCAGTCTACCAGTCTGTATTGTATGAAATAAAGTCTTTAAAATATGATAGCTAGTGTTGCTGACGTTGGCGTAATACTGTGGAGGGCCCCGACCCAGAGCAGGAGAAAGTACAGGGTGGTTTTTAGTCACTAAGAGTCTGATACACCCTCTCGCCCCAGCCAAGGAGGGAGAAGTAATACGATGGCTTTCCACCAAAAAGTCCGTGAACTTTATATGGAGCAGATAAGGTTAATTTTTATGGGATTTTGAAAGAATAACACAATCGAACGTATTCACCGTGTGAGGATTTTTTTACAACTAACTTGAAATGAATAAATGACATAAAACATCGTGTGTCTTAAAACGTGAAGAGTGGACAATCTGTCTATGTGAATGACCGTGAACATGTTGCATTCAAAAACGGAAAATACCGCATACAATTAAGAGGAACATGATCCAAAATATCCTAAAACAAAGATTCCATTAACATAGTTTTGAAACTAGATTTATACTAACACAATAATCTTTTTTTCAACATTACTCAGTTTCCATTAAACAACAAATTGTTATTTATCACGAACACATTCGTGACGTCACCGCGGAAACGTCAAGCAGCCATTGTACGAACTAGCGTAATGAAATAAACTGAATAAAGATTGCTTCTTACTATTTACTTATATACGTTACGGAAAATATGTTAATTAAAAGAATATAATATTTTTTCTTTCTTGACTGAATTTTACTTTCCATACGTTTCTCCTTGGCACTGAAAGGTGTAGTTTTGGCTAAGGCTATTTTTATATGTAATTCGTCTCTCGCCGATACGAGCAGACGAATTGCATGATGGTAAGCAATTCAAGTCATCTATGGAACGGCTATACCAAAGGAGTTACGAATGCGTTACCGGTCTTTTGAGGATTAGGGTTTTGGGATATAGGAGATTTTAGCATTGAGAAGGGGAAAAAGGATTGGCGTGATCCCTAAAATGCCATTGCAGTTATGCTTAAAATACTCTAATTGTGAGTAATCTTAAGTCATTTGAAGAGTCCTAACATGTTATCCTGTCAAGAGCAATGGGCACGTATCCTAATAGTTACTACATATAAAATTACGAAAGATAAAGTAAAAAGTAAAATTATTTATAGCAATGGAGAGTCAGCCTAGTTAATTTCATCATAGACGCATACACAATGAACATGCAATGCTGTAAACAGTGTAACATAGGTATAACATATTGCATATAAGTATTACTGACAACACATGAATGAAAAGAGTGAATGAAGCTAGCCCTGAACGCTGTCAATTTAATTGACGTCATAAACGTGTTTAACAGACTTACGAAATACATTCGTATTTTGAAATATACAGAATACATCTACACAAGTTCCTGTCTAAATGTTGACTGCACGCTTGGCGCGAAGGCAGGACAACTGGCTGCTGTGCAAAGTGTCGGAACACGGAACAACTCTTTGGGTGTCCCTAATGTGTATGTGAATTGTATGTTTTTAAACGCACTCACAATACAGGAGAAAATCCAACGAAGCAAACAACAAAACATAAACAATCAAGAAGGAATTTCAGAAAGCTTTCCCTTTCTCGAGACTAATGATTATAATGAAAGTTACTGCATCCTTACATAATAAATGCATAGGCGTAATCATATACAATTATATTACATTATACAAACAGCTGAGTTTTAATTAAATCAATTATGCATTCGTTATTTAACTGTCGAGCTCAAGTGCGGGCCTGTAATTTATAAATAAACAAACATTATAATTTATGTAGTGTTGAAAGTATGACACTATGTCATTTCGTCATTTGACAAAAATTCGTAAAATGACTTTTCCCGCCCAGGATAGAGGGAGCCGCCGATGAACCTCCCAGAGTTAGACTCTTGCTGACTTAAGCCCCCCCATTCCTTATCCTGGGTCTAAGGAAAGTCTAAAAGCAACAATTAAAGTGATTATGAGTTAATATGGCGGTTCTATTAGTACGATGATCGTGAGAATGTAGGTGGCACGTGGCCGGCAACGCGTGGCGAACCGATGCGATTTGAAGCATTAGATATCGACCTCACGTGTTAACCGTATATTTATAATGTACATTTTTTTACCAAGGCCTAATATGCATGAATCACACTCATGTTAGGCAGCAGCGAAAAGTCTAACTGTTTGCAGGATTTTCCTTAAGAACCACTGAAAATCGCTTAGTTTAATTTATTTTATTTATTTACATTTGTTTTTTCTTTGGGTTTCCAGATTAAATAAATAAAGCTTAATTATTATTTATATAAATAGCTGCATAAAAAGCTAAGACATACTTTGTATTATGTTGAAAAAAAGGAAGATTGTACTGAAACAAAGTTGAAAGACATTACAAAATCATCCTGAAAAACAAATCGATAGTAGAATTAATTGTTTAATTTATGTACCTACGTTAATTTTTGCCAGAGAATCACTAAGGTATAATATCTTTTCGACCACGAAGCGTAGGTATTGGCTACGACACATAAACATTACACGCACAGGATTTTTTTTAATCTAGACTAATTAGTATGTGGTTTCTATACTGCAACTTTGTTAATAATTTAAAACGGTGAAATATAAAGTACTACCCTTTGCCCGCGACTCCGTTCTCGTGGAATAGAAACTTCCTGCAGATTTTTGGTATAAAAAGTATCATATGTCCTTTCTCGAGTTCCAAACCATGTATGTATACCAAATTTAACAGAAATCGGTACAGTAGTTTGGGCGTGAAGAAAGGACAGACAGACATACTTTCGCATTTATAATATTATATATAGTTTGGATTCACCACATAAATTATAATTATGAGATTATTTATATGCATTTACATTGGCAAATATAATTATTTGTTTGTATTGTGCATTTTTACAGATATCTCAAAATAATAATGATCTTATTAAAATATAACTGTATAATGCTATTCGAATCTGAAAGACATACAAATGTACCCATAGACATAGACGGTACAAAATCGGCATCAATTCATCAAATACCAAGCGAACGCCAGCGCTTGCGCACCTAGTCTCTTACGATTGTGTCTCGAATTACTAACCACGATGGAAAAGTTAAAAGGATTTTGCTAATTATTGTAATAGCTTGTTATACCTAAATTACCTCTAATCTGATTCTGTGCCGTTGCAGTTGGACGCACATGCACTATTAAATACACCTTCTACCACATTACAGTTTCCTTACAATTTATAGTCATGCATCGCTTGTGTTATACCCATTTTTGAGAATGGTTAACCCTCAAATGATTTCTTCAAGGTTGCCCAGAGTAAATTGCGAGGGAGTGTCAGACTCTTATTGATGAAGAAGTTTCTTCTCCTACAGTTAGGCCGAGGCCGCGGTACCATATTGCGTTTGACCCGTGAACGCGGATTTACGACAGACGGATTACCTGATGGTTAGCAATCAGCGCCGCCCATGGACACTCGCAACGGAGGAGTTACGAGTGCGTTGCCGACCTTTTAGGGATTAGGGATCCGGAGATTTAGGGATTGAGGAGGGATTGGGGAAGGGGAAGGATTGGGCCTCCGGTAACCTCACTCACACGGCGAAACACAACGCAGTGGTTATTTCACGCCGGTTTTCTGTGAGGCCGTGGTATCACTCCGGTCGAGCCGACCCATTCGTGCCGAAGCATGGCTCTCCCACACTTAAGTTAGTATAGACTTTATTCAAAACTATTATTTTTCCGAAATTTTATTTTGCTAACAAAAGGATAGTTCTTCTGTTAGCAATAAGAGGTTTTAAAATTGTATGCATAAAAAATATCAATTCAACACTTTATAAAAAAGAAACGAATTCCGGAAGCTATAAATTGCAATAGATAGATAGGAGGAAGAAAGATTTAAAGTTTTTGTATTATAAATAAAATAATCAAAGATGTCCCTGAACGCTTTTTTTAAAAAAGAAAATCAAGTGCATAAATAGGAAGAAGGTCTCTCAGTTGATGGCGAAAATAATAAGTAAAAACTAACAATTTCAAGTACCTACATAATTTCATAAAGGACAGGCAAATGCACAGACGTAACTACACTAATAAAATTACAAAGAATTTGCGACTAGCTTTCGCGATTATGACATATCGCTTCTCAATAACAAACTGCTTCAAGAACCTTGTTTATATATTTTAAATTACCTATGTTCTATATTCAAATATATCTGATTGAAAAAGGCCCTTAGATCTCGATATCAATTTATCAACCAACTGTCACTTAGTCAAATTTTAACATCCCCGATGGCCGATAAGATATTTGGAATGCGTTAGTAAAATGTACTTGAGAATGTGATAAGTTTGAGAAGAGTGTTTTGATAACGCTAATACGCGCTCGTGCTAAGTCTTTATTTAGTAAACAAGTACTTCATATGTTTTCTTTATATTTATTGAACTTTTTTTTATTAAAACGTTGCCGCTCACTAGGATTTCCTCCTGGTGCGTTTCTTAAAACGTTCCGCTTACTAGAGCTTTCTTCTGTATCGTGGGTTAGTTTACAAAGATACAATATCACATACATATCACACCCAGACCCAGAAAAACAATATGTGGATCACACAAAGAGTTGGTCCGTTCGGCAATCGAATCCGCGATGTTGTCCAGCCACCGCGCCAAACGTTCAGACAGCACATTGCTCCGTTATTATTAACATTTTATTAATAAAACCTCTTCTTCAATTAATACCTAGATACTTGTTTATAGATAATAAGGAAACAATAATAATTATAATAGAAATATCATTACTAAGTATACTGTTATTAAATTTTATGGCATCCTTCTAAACGTTACCTTTGAAAACAAATAAAAAACTCTTTACGATATCAATCACCTACATTTTTAATCACACAACGGTACTTGTGAAGAATTTTTTCGTAAGAAGTTGATTAGTATTTGCGAATTTACAAGAACTTATTTCGACCAATTCTTAGTCAGTTTTTGATTAGAAAAAAAAACTGATGACTTTATACGGCTTTAAAAAAAATATCATAAAATGGTGATACATAACTGTGTATCTTATGTGACTGGCACAAATAATCTTGATAGTATAATTTTGAAATAAATAATATTCATATTTATAGGGATTATGGTTATGCTATTTTACAGCATTTAGAGAAATACAAGTGGAACTTAGAACATTTTATTTGTTGAAGGTTTATGATATTTTATTTTGATCAAAACACACGGAATGTTCATCAAAGTTGGAATTAGACATACTGTAAAATTTTTATAATAGTATATCACCACATAGTATAAAACATAGTCGCTTTCTCTATCCCTTTATCCCTATGTATGCTTAAATCTTTAAAACTACTCAACGCATTTTGATGTGGTTTTATTTCATACAGAGTGATTAAAAAGAAAAGTTTATAAGTATAACATTAAATGGTGGAGAAATTTCGTATGAGCATTGCACCCGTGCGAAGCCGGGGCTGATCGCTAGTATAATAATAAAAGAGGGGTAATGTAAATAGATGTTAAATTCTATGCATTAGGTACAGAACATTCCCAAAGCAATTACAATCAGAGCTCACGATACCAACACGTTGACACTGCGCTAAGTCACGTAATTACAGATAAGGTTTTACTTCAAAGACCAACAGTAAAGCATTACAAATTCATTTTTCTAACACATACACAGACACACGCTAGATAATTTTATATATTTTTCTTTAGTTATATTAGTATGTATGCTGCTTTGAATCAACATTTTATCAATTATTCAGACGCATATTTACTGTCTTTCACTCTTACTGACTAAAAACCTCCCTGTTCCTTCTCCTGCTCTAGGCGGAGGTCGCGGTGCCTCATTGCGCTCACCCCGCAACCCCGCAACCCCGCAACATCAGCCCCGTCTGTGGATTCTTTACACATGGATCCCTTACACACATCATTAGCCTAAAAGTGCCCACTACTGAACAAATGCCTGTTCTCACACGAATAAGGTTTTAGCATTAATACTACACTTGCTCAAGGCGGATTGGCGATTTCAAACTTATAATAAGAAATAAGAAATTATAAGACCAGGTTTTCTCACGTTGTTTTCTTTCATATCAAGTTACTCGGGAATACATTGGTACTTGCCAGGTTTCGAACCCGCACCCTCATACATGAGAAGGAGGCGCCTTAACGTCCTGCCCCCACGACAACTGTTTAGCCTGCCTGTCATTCAGCAAGAATTTATAAGTCTGCATGAGGTAAAGTTTTGATAATGCTTCGATTTGTATTATTCTGTGTTTTTATCAGTAACAGGCCAAAAGATATTAGAGCATTTTCTTTAATCTCTTTAAATAGGTTTTGTTAAAGTTACTTACGATGTAGTAGTGCTATCATCGGGTACCATAGCAATGATGTTGACGCTCATGTTGACCCTCATCATGTAGTTGACCCAACACGCGAAGAACATCATAACGGCTACGTTGAACCGCGCCGGTATGAAATCTGTAAATAATAAAACCCTTTTAATTAACGCACTACCATTAATTCGCGCCAAAAAGGCTAAATAAACGTGAAAGGTATTCGAAGAACCCGGGCATTTCTCAAACATAAAGCTGAAGGCGTTTTCCTTATCGACTCATTATAATATGTTTGTTGATCAACACTAAAATGTGTCATAACAAAGTATTATGTAACAAGGTTGAACGCACATTTTAATGACCTTGCATAATTAATTGATAACTTAATCATTCGCCCTGGTACGTTCAATAATTCGAGATGAGATGATTTCGTCATCGACCTTAGACGCTTAGACGAATGCGGAAATCGACGCGGCTTTTAGAGTTTGGCAAATACATATGTAGTTGTCGACAAGAACTCATGACCTCGCGGAACCCGTATGAGCTCGGAACATAAACTTTCGAATACATTGTCAATATCAGACTGACAAGCGGTAACGAATGCACGCAGTTCATTGCACCCTACATAATAATCCTTCATTAGAAATACCCTAATTATGCACAAATCAAAAACATGGTAGAGCGAAAGTCTCACATTATTTCGACGTATGAACTAAATAATTTCTTTCTCCGAAATCACTGACCTGATGCAAGTAAATTGATTTCTTCTAAACACGGATGACGTACTGGATCGTGGCTTTATTATAATCCCCGAATCAAACGAGTTTTGCTTAGTATCACGTGTACAAAAAACGTTTCTGTTAATAAGACCAGTTTATAAGCGAAGCGCCGCAAAAGTGTGGACCGTTTATTAATTTAACATTTTATCTCCCTACATTCCAATCAGAAATTCCAATAGATTGGAAGCACGAGTTTGTACATAAGGTACGGTAACATACGGTAAGGTTTGTACAACATAAACCATGAATAACTAGAGCCTATGTTATGTGACAAAGTAGAAAAGTCCTTTAAAATAAAACAAAATAAAAAAAAACTATACTAGAAAATATTTTCCAAACAAGATCATTAGGCAAGCAACATAATATTTTAGTAATCGACTAAAAAGGATTTCATGAAAATTAATTCTCGCAGCGCATGAAAATGAAAAATGAAAATTAGATGCCAATTACTGAGAAAAAAAACATTTATTTATTTTTTATGGCATCTTAACTATTTCTACCAAAAGTGGCCAGTACTCATGAACTTTTTTTATACGCATATACTAAAAGGTAATTCTTATTTAATTTTTGCCATGAGGCTGAGACAGTGATTTGTTCAAATCAGACAACAAAAATGCTGACTACATAAAAAATACACGTGCCTATAACACACAAAAGAATTATTTCGTCTTTAGATAGATAATACATACATATAAGAAGCTTCGTATTAGATCACGGTACCTAAATACCTAGTAGAATTATTAATCAGAATCTCTTGCAAAAGATCGTGTTTTTCTATGGCCATGGCCTCGTTGAATAACCCCGCGTGATGACAACAAAACAACATCACGCGGCCACTATCGGTGTCTATGGACCGTCGATTTTTGTTTTTCGAATAAGATACAAATGACCTCTTAGATCGACGCTTTAGACATGCCTATCTCACCCATCTGAATAAATTAGCATGACGTAATCAATCAGACAAGACTGCTTCATCGAAACTATAATCAAAGTAAAAAAAATCTGCGAATCGTTGGCAATTACCAAACTACTGATTACCAATCAAATCTTTTGCTGTGAATGTTTTAGGTAATGGTGCCTAAACTTGGTATATCTACGTATAAAATATAGTTTACAGTCACTGAGTATTGAAGTAGGTCAACGTCATTTAATAATTATTAATTACTATTGTAACAGCTGAATAAGTGTGACATAGTTACGCGTTCGTGTTTCTGTAATTTTACAGTATATTATTATTTTTAAAGGATTTTTGTTATTTAAGTATGATATTGTTAAGATACACACATTACCTGCATAATTCAATAACCGTATGTGCCTGAAGCATTAAAGTTATTCCCCCTTATTACAAAACAAGATTTATCTTTAGTCCAGGTTTAAACCATTGAGTCGAGTTTTGAATTTTGAATCTTATTGTCATCTACCTTCAATTCGAAATACAAAAACTGGCTCAATGGTTTAGTCCTAGACTAAAGTAAAACCTTGTTTTGTAATAAGGCCGATTGAGTTTTATATTGAACGTGGATCATACATCTCTGTATTGTTCCCAGTTTTCAAAGTAACAAGTTTATATTGTATCTACATCTACACCTTTTATAAGAGGAACAATTTGTTTTTATTTTTGGTTTCTGTGTGTGTGTGTAATTTTGTAATTATTAAATCGATTCGCCTCCGAAAAGTAAGAAAAATAATTGGAAATTCGGACTAAGACAAATCGGGACATAGTAAACAAATTTTGTATATTAAAGTTGTTAATAAGTGCCTTTTCCATCGCAATACCAAAGCTAAACATTATGTTTTTGTCGCAGGGCGTGTTACGATGACATTAAAATGTATATGTAGTTTCGCAGAAACATCTGACCGAGGGCGGAGTAGTACATTGTGTTGGCAAGCTATTGTTATTTGGTGATCCTATTGTGTCGCCGTGAATAGTCTGTCGTTTACTTAATTGATGTGTTTGCAAACGTAGTCATTACTGCCCGTACCTAGCTACGTACCAGGCGCGGTGATGAGGCTTGTCCTACCTACTACCCATGTAGGTACTTGTGAACCTACATTAATCATATAGACGTGTGTAGATGTCAAGTCTATTGTTTATCATCTTAATGACTTAAAATTAGATGTTTTACAAAAGTTACGAAAAATCACGTGTGTTAGCAATTTGTTCATGTCTCATTTTATTTTTATGTATGAAAGTGATGGATGGGTCATTAGTACGTAGGTATTGTAATCCTACTTCCTAATTACTATCCTATTAAATGGTAAAAGTTTATGAGAATGTATGGATGTATGTTTGTTGTTCTTTCACGCGAAAACAGCTGAATCAATTTAATTAAAATTTGGTATGTAGATAGGCGATACACCTGGATTAAAGCGGAGACGGCCTGGATTGGAGCGAAGATGCGGGCGGGAGCTAGTACAATACGCTTGTAAGTGATATGATGTGTTTAGAATGATACCTACCGATTAATGAGCTTTCAATACTAAGTATAATAAATGACTGAATAGGCTACAAATACAACGCATGCTAGTCTTAATTAGCCGCTATACATAGACAGCGTCAATCATTTGCGTAACGGTGAGCTGTGAGGTCGTGCTTGCATTCTGGAAGAATCCGAATATCTGCGTAGCGGTGAAAGTGCAAGAATGCAGGGTCTGGCTAGGCAGGCGCCACACCGCCGCCGCGGGCGCCGCGTCCGCTGCACGCTGGCGCCAGCCTCGCGAGCTAATCACTGCCCATCCCGTTCCAGCCCCATAACACTTTATTAGGCTCATGCGAATTACTTTTATTATTACGCGCACATTAAATTACTTAAGTGGAAGTCTTAGCAAATTCTTCCTTAATAGTTTTTTAATGATTATTGCTTTTACCTTCGTTTTATGCGAGTTTTATTTTATCTTAACTAATAGACATAGTAAGGGGACATAGTACATCAAAGCATAAATTGTCCAATTAATACACTTCGAACACTAAAAATATTTTTATTTTGTTAGTAACCTTACAATAATAGCTTATTAATTCTAATATTTATTAATATTTGCCACACAACTGTTAGGGGCAGTCCCTTGCTTTCACCGGTCACAATTAGCTAGTTATGAGCGCTCAAGGTCTTTGAAAGTAAGCCAGAATTGATTTTCTACATGCCTATCTTTCGTATTAATCTCGTGAACACAAAACCTAACGGCGGTGGATGCAAACACCAACCAAAGTGACAGATGTCGAACACTGAACTTTCAAATTGATTAAACAGTCGCCGGAGACTTGTTACAAGTATACATACTCTAACGGTCCACCCTACTTATACAAGTATTAAAAAGGTTTATGATTCATTTCGCACGGCGGCCGCGACGCCCGATATGCAGAATTTCGTCTCCGGAGAACCGGTCAGTGTTTACATCCTTATTCTTAAACGTCAGACTAAATGAGACCAGTTACTGAAATATGCATTCAGTTATCGTTGTGCTGGTTGTTATTTTTTTATACCGTAGGTACCTACTATTTGATTTACATTATATTAGTTATGTACTTGGTTAATTAAACTTCATTCTATTGATACTTATTTTTCTTTCTGTCGTTGATATATGTATGTATATTATTAGTGGAGTTTATGTGAGAAATGTTATAATAGAGGTACTAAATAGAAACTTAGAGTTTAATATTTAACTACACGAAACACAAAGCGAGTAAATCATTAAAAAATATAAGAACATAATAAACATAGTTAGGTATTCCTATTATAAGTATAATTAATGGCAATCCGCCCCAGCTTAGCACGGGTGCAATGCCGATAGATACTAAATCTCTCCACTATATCATGGATGAAAAAAACCTGCATCAATATTTTTTTTATGTGATAGGTCGGCAAACAAGCAAACGGATAACCTGATGGTAAGCAATCAGCGTCGCCAGTGGGGGTGCTCAACGACGCACGAGTTACAAGTGCGTTACCGACCTTTAGAGGGTTAGGGATTTGGAATTTTGGGAACCTGGAGGAATTGGGTTAGTTAAAGGATTGGGCCTCCGGTAACCTCACTCACACGGTGAAACACAACGCAATGGTTATTTCACGCCGGTTTTCTGTGAGACCGTGGTATCACTCCGGTAGATCCGACCCATTCACGCCGAAGCATGAGAGCCATCCACACAATGTGCATAGTTTAAAAGACTTAAGCATACATGACATATGGATATGGGTACAGAGAAAGCGACTTTGTCTAATACTGTGTATTGATAATAATAGGTATGCAAGTAACCATATAAAGAAATGTAACATAGAGAGTTTCAGAGACTAGATAACCACTATACTCGTTGCGATATATTTGCATAACTATCCAGTTTTTAAATTAATGTAGAATTTTCTTAAAAAAA